TCGGCTTTTCAAAACACAAATGTGAACACACTGACGTTACACACTCGAGTCGGAAGAAATTCTCTTCAACTCAAACAAGTTTCTGTAACCACGAAAGATTTGAACACCTTAAAGCTCAGTGTACCACCTGCTTTAACATATAGTAATTATAAATTCTGCCCACACAGTGCGCTTGTGTTTTCATAAGACTCAATAAACATCGATTACTTCCCCAAACAAATTTTACCAATTAGCTTTTGCAGCTTTGAAGCGTTATGTTTTATTTGCGGTACGAACAGAATTCTTAAATATTATTCAAATGCAGGATTCTTCCAGATTTAAATTTATCAAAATGGCGCCTTGCTGTGGAGGCCACTATATTATTTAATTTGCCAAATTATAATTTCAACATTTATTAAAACACAAAGTAAATTCCATGGTTTCTGACTTATCAGTACTTACCACCCCAAAATCTTCATTCTCATTCTAACCTTATCAGACGGACGAGCGGGAAATGCCTGGGAACCTTCTAAAATAAGATTATCTTTCTCTTTGTCCCCCTCTCCAGAACTGAAATGTCTCTCACTGTGATTCAAAGACTTTTGTTCCCTTCTTTAATTTCACAGAAATAAATGGGGTTTTTTTGGGTTTTTTTTTCAGAATCTCACGGAAGAACTATGTACAGTCCAAATGCATAGCCAGCCCATTGCATTGCCAAACCGATAACAGAATAGTAAAATAAAAGTGGTCTTCATCTTTTCACATTGAAATAACGTAGTATGAAGCACGGATATTTGTCACAGTTATTCTAAGTTGAAAAGGGGAGGAAAGAGATACGGGACAAAGAGCAGAATAAGAAACGTAAGAAAGGGATAAACGAAGAAATGGCGTATAGGATAAAGACACGAAAAGATATCTTGAACTGAATTATATCAACTGTTGAAACGACTGTCGGTTTAGTGATCCTCCAACAGAGGTTTAATTTCTGTTGTTACGATTCGCGTGTGTGCTTCCGAGTGTTTGTCAGTCAAGCTGCGTCCTAGTTCTTGCCTTAACGTTCTTCATTAAACTCAACAGTTGCTTACAGAGATACTGCACCATACAGCGTCATTAGCACGCTATAGCCCGAAGTTCAGTTCAGCTTTTAGCTCAAGGAAAGCAAAATACATTAAGACGAGTTTGTTACTGTAGTCCACGAAAATTAACCATGTTTGTTATCAGAATCACACGAAACCCAAGCGATAAATCTGAAGTGCTTTCATTCATAAAAAAACAAAGTAAAGATTCAGTGTCGTCTTCGATCATAAAGAAGTTTTACTTAGCAGGTGTATTCGCTATTAAACAGCCACGTAAAATTTCTAAAATATATACGAAGCTCAAATATCTTGACGTTTAACAAGGATCTAGGTACAGATATTTGATTCTACCATAAACCTTGACACTTCTGTTCGATATTTATCAAAACATCTGGTAACCACGGTATAGAATCGCTTCATCACTTAGCGGGACACAAATACAGGGCAAAATAAAACTCGTGTATTATACAAAGAATACAAAACATACTTCGACATGATAAATTAAACATTTGCAAATGGATTTATACTTAAACACATTAAGTTCTGAGAAATAAATGTAATTTAAAATTCCTCTCATTCATACGAATGCCTACAAACTGAAAGTCATCTAATT